GCTAGTCCTCCGATGCAAAGTTTACTGACAATTTCTGCAATTACGTTGAATATTACAGCTGAAGGTAAACGATTTATTCAATTACCAATAAAATGAAGGTAGTGGAAGAAATCGTAAAAATACAAATGGCCCATCTCGCTAGGGTGTATGACGAAACTTGAAGACAAAATTACGACTCGCTGTTTCTCGAAAGGTAAGAAATATTTTCGTTAAATTAAATTAATTAATGAAAATTTGCTGGAATCAAAAGTTCTTAAAATCCTTCTGCTTTACGATGCAAACGTCTCGTGTATCTTGACTTTTATCATACTCTATGAAATGTAATCCCTTCGTGCCATTTCTATTTCAGGAAATGAAGAATATAGGATAATTTTTAAACGAATATTTCGTTTTCTTCTCGGTAACTGTACATGCAGAAGACAATCTGTAACACAGGAGTCTGTAATAAAGGATTTCTTGCCTCTTACGCTCTTTGCAGAGAATACGTTCCACGGAGTAGGTTCTCTACATACTACTTATGACCCACATTTCGTGCAGGCGAAAGACTTGCTCTTCTACCAGTGAAAATTGACGAGAATTATTGTTTCAACCGTTTCACATCGCTCATTCTCTTCGAGTCGCATGGGCGTTTTCGCCGGATCGATGAAAATTTGCCAAAACTGCACTCGCCGATGATAAAACCAGCCTTCTAACAGCCTCGCACAGCCTTTTATGTTCTTTTCCTTAATAAAAATGAAAACAACGCGAAAATAAAAAGTGTAAAGTAACGACGAAATAGCTTTGAAAGTCACCGTGGTATTTTTACCCGAGTTTTCGTATCTAAATTTATAGTAGTATCTAGCACGTATTTTATACAATAGCTGACCTTATTTAACGCAAAAATTAACAACCGTGTTGCGAGATAGCTCGTTGTCCGATTGTTCGGTTGGAAAAAGATCGTAGAATTAAGGGCGATCCTGTTTCAGGTATTAAGTACAGCTGCTTGCATAGATGCAACGTTGTCTACACGTTGCTTCCTATCGAGTTCGTGATGCAATTAAGGGTTGGTCTGGTAGACAATGAATTTTAAAAGCCGATTTTCCGCGTAATTTTATCACGATACTGACCAATAAAGAACCAATACGAATACTAATGCGAAATTTAATATGTTCCGATGTGGTTATGGAAATTGGATACATTTATTTTTAGTTGACCGCCACGCGAAGCAATTATATCATAATATGCGTCAATATGCAAATCTTCTATTTTATTCACAGATGAAGGATTATCGCGTAAAGTTAGCTATTCTGCGGTAATTAATCTGTTATAATCTTTAATTAAACCTGTTATTAAACATCCGAATTATCTGCTTCGCATCTCGACACGCGTTATGTGCTATTCTATGTATGGAAGAATATTTTCTTACTTTCGTGGAGGTAAATGTACATACGAGAGATACATGAGCACAAACCAATGTGCTAGCGTCAGATTTTCTCGTAATACTTAAAGAGATTTTCTTCACAACCGGTGAGATAGAGGCTTCAAAATTCAATATCGCTTAGATACGTGTCGTTCGAACATTTTCTATTGTTATAACGTAACTCTATTATAAAAGGCTCTAAACAGATATCTCTTCTTCCAATTTTTTTACTCGCTACATAAAATATATATATATACATACACGGGGCGATGAAAAATTAAAAATATTCATTCTCCCCTAAGATACTGCAAATAAGATATTGCAGCAATTTGTAGCTAAGAAACGTATGACAACCCTTAACAAGTATTTCCAAAGTATAACAGCTCCGTTATTTATTAAATTCTACTCTTGTCCCTCCGTTATATTTTATAATTAATAAATTATATAACCAAAATTTTGAATTTTGCACCTTACGTAATATAATAATATTTTGGTAACTATCACGACTATCGTAAGGCTATGCAAAATTTCGATCGTAGTATGAACTGATAATTATCCTATTCGCGTGCGTTATGGTGTCAAATCGCTCATTATCGGAATCAAAAGAGATGTTTAGAGATGCCATTGACTCGCGAAGGCATTCAAAAGGTAATACGAAAGAGGAGTGCATGGCATATTGTGCGAAAAGCCAATGCCATTCCTCGGTTGCTCTGATTACAGACTATTTTTTTTTTTAATTCGGAATGATCGACGTTGCATGGAACCGATGAAAGCAACCCACTATTGCGATATCATCTTTCTTTACTATCGGGTTCCGATTACGTAATACCACTGCAATGGTCAAACAAAGGCCAACAAAGGGTCTCGTGATATTTGTGCAATGATACGAAGAAATTGAAATTCGCATTATCGTGCAAGAATAACTTGCTTCGCAATTTTTTTTAGAATCCACTGCTTCGAAGTGTATCGAATCTCCGGTATGCCTAGCTCGAACGGAGAAAGTTCGGCTTGTGTGCATGTGCGTTTGTGAAGGAATTAAAATGGTGTCGAGAACGAAGATTTTACATTTAAAAAGTACAGTATTATCTAATTTATCACTCGAAAACGGAAGATAGGACCCACAAAAGAAGCCTCGAGATGAAAATGGTGCCTAAAGGGTTCATTGAACTTACACAAGCTTTCTGTAATCTTTACGTTCCTCGATGTACACTAAAAATCGAAAATGAGGTGCACCTTGTTTCTCAAAAATTGATTTTACTTTTTACAGACTTTTTACCCACTCGGTATATTCCAACATATTGTACTGTAGTAAAATGACTATTCCATTAGCTATTTTCCAGCATTGAAGCAAGATAAGGTAAATATCCTATACTTCGAGTACGGTTGTTATACACCCACATTGATGTTGCGAAACGTAAACTAATATACTGCATGAGTAACTGAGACCTACACGGTATTATGTAGAATATTTTGTTACCAGCCGTTTAAGCAATTTTGCAAAATTTTTCAAATTCCCATGTTTCGTCACCCATTTAATTCTCGTTAGAGAGATAAAGATAAATATCAAAGAGAAAAACTTCTGTCTCTGGTATTATACGAGTACCTACATGGTCACTATGCCATCGCCATAATATCCCTTTTATTATTGAATTATGTTCAAGTAGTAAATAATCCTTACACGTGAAATGTGCTTATTCATCGAATCATGTACGCAATGCAATTTTGCTTGATGCGCGCATCAGATTTAACGGTATATTATAGATAAGACTGAATGATGCCGTTAAAATTATTTGTAGCAATACATCCACGTCATACTTTTCGTTTTGGATGTTTCCTACATTTCAAACAGCTTTCTAGAATGATAAATGTGCAACACATGGTAATGTTTCTGTAATAATGACCTTAATCATGGGTCAGAGAAAATTTTATGCATTTCACATATGATTTTTTAAATTAATGAATTGGCAGAGTTATTTATTATAACTAATAATGTACATTGCAGTAAGTATAAAGAAATATATTAACGGTTATATATTGGTGAAAATGGATTGACATATAAACGCTTACATGTTCAGTACAGTTCTACTAATAGAGTTCTAAAAACTCAACCCTCTGACATGTCAATAAATCATAGAAGCTGTCTATTTATCAACAAAACTGCTTCTTCCTAATCGACGTTATTCCTAACCTACATATACATATACATATTATAATTACACGACGAATCATATATTGTTAATAAGATTTTTAAATAATTATTAGTTATAACTACCGATTAAAATTGAAATAAAGTGGAAAAAGTTTGATTAGAAAATCAAAAGATTCAATTTATTCTGCACGTGCGAAATTTGTTCAAATAACTCGCTTTTCACTCTACTCTTTTTCGATTTTATTAAAAAAAAAAAAAGAAGTTGAAGCTAAAAGAGATCACACGTGACACAAAATGCTTTCTAAATGCACAGTGAAACCTAAAAACATGCTGGATAGGGTTTTTAAAGCAGAAACGGAACAGAAAGAGTCGGTTGAAAAAGGGAATGCGATCTTTCAACTGTTTCATCTCTGGCGATCGCGAGATGTGTATGCATATACGTGTGTGATCGCGACAATGAAGAGACAGTGATGATGCGCAGCGCATCAAATGCGATGCGGCGTGCTTCCGAACCTTCCCTATTCAAAAACGGCATCTCGTCGCGCGCTTAACTTATGCGCCCTCACGGACGACTATAGTGCGCACATGTGTGTTAATCAACGCGCCGTGTCGTTGGAAAAATATTTTATCGTCACGTTGAATGCACATCGACCGATTGTGTAAACGTCGATCACATTCGCCAACTAAATCTGATCGATGAAATCACCGATTAATTATCAACGAACCACGCGATGGATCATGCATTGTTCCTGTGCAAGGTAATATCGATATTTGCATCGAACCTCTATACGTTAATATCGACTTTGCGAGATAGATTTATTCTATCTTTTTCGGTAAAAGAATTCCGAGTTTAATCTACTTTTGGTTCGTCACGATGTTTGCGGTGGGAAAAGCTTGTAAGCTGGTTTACGTGAAATGTAAAGCATTCAGGGTTGAAAAATTCGATTACATCCTAAGTAAAGCTGTGTCACTTGGAATGACAGGAACAGCTCCAAAATGTCGATAATATCGATAATGTCAAGGTGCCAAAACTGCTTGTATAAAGAGAAAAGATATTCTAAATAATATTTACGGTTTTCATTGCAGTGAAAAAGGAATATTTACAATTTCTCTAATACGCCGAGTAAAGGCATTTATATTTTGCAATACTTCAAACGGGGCCTTTAAAACAAAATTATACTCGTGTCAAATGACGTCTACGGCAAGTATACAAAATTCGCACGAATTGATAAATAGTACGAGATACGAAAATTCTGGTTAAAAATTCCGGGAAATATATCAAAGACGCCTTTAATTGGAACATTACGTGGGTTTTGTATACCCTGTGTTGTTCTTTATTTGCGGACAAGGATGCCTTGTTATTGCCGTCATCACAAAAATACAGGCCAAATAAAACGAAAACCGCATGATGCACGTCGTGCGAAAATTATTTGACTCAATTTCGACGAATTTCGTCTTCTGTTGAAAGCCGATCTTTACGTTGCAATAACGATTCGAATTTTACGTAACTGTACACAACACGATAGAAGACTGCCGGTAGAAAACTGTTCTATTTTTAAGAGCAGACAACATGTTCAAGTTTGTCCGTAATGCCCGGCATGTATCGTAGCGGTTGGAAAATGACGGACGTGACTGTTGCAACGATTTCATACATTCCCCGCCTCGCCCCGCCCTTGATAATCCCCTAAAACATTCGTTGCCGCGTGCACATCGATCCCGAGGGAGATTTCTGTGTGTAAAAGGATTCGAAAAGCTACTGACCTTGAGCTTGTCGTAGGTTGTATCGAGCTCGAGACGGTGTACGAAAGGGTTCAGGATGTCAGCATCGAAAGGCGCAGCATCCACGTCCTCGTGTTTATTTCGCATTTTTCCATTGACCTCATCCATGCTTTCTCCGTATGATCACGAACAGATCGAATATAAGAGAAATGGATACAACGAAGAAAAATATATAAGAGAAGAATGAGACAATAAACGCAGCTTAGTAGCTCGATATGTCACACACTGCTAATCGCGAAACGTCGATACGTATCGGCAGGTGCGAAACGATCCGGCGACGGGCTCGAGCCTCTTGACACTGTTTATAACAACGTATAGCTCAAGGCAGATGAATAAAAGAACGACGGAGAAAGAAAAGGGGGAGCTCTTGATTAGTCGCGGCGAGACATGACCGAAAGCGAAGGGGTTGTCGGACGACGATCTACTATACTCACGGTCGACTCGACGGAACGAACCGGCCAAATACTCTCCGATTGTTACCGAACCCCACCGAATGCACGGGGGATACTGTCAGATGCGTGCGCATCATGCCGCCTAGTCGAAAGTTCGTTCGGGTATCTCCGTCGGACTGCCCCTGTGAGAGCGAAGTAGCACGAGGAAATCGAGCCAGGGCCGACTACACTTATTCCCAGTACCCTAACCTTCCTACGTTTCACTTTTTATAAATTTATAAATTTATAATTGTTAAAACTTCCGTTAAAGTGAAAATGCGACTTTCTTAAGATAATAATATCACGTCTTTCTACTTCTTTTTTTTACCGAAAATTGACAAGTATGGAAAATATAACAAGTAAAGAGATACGTAATTTAAATTTAAGCAACGGGAAATATGAAACACGGGGAATATGTTGAAGTTCTTTATATTGTATTGTGTCACCTTTAGTAGAACATTTGATAAATAAGGATATTTACTTTACGTCATAAATATATGAATTTCATTTCCAAGTGACAGGTCATAGATTCGATACATGACATCCGACGAAATTTTAATTCCAAAATTTTAAACGAGTATTTTTCATATATATTCGAACAACTATGGCTTGCATTTAAAAGTATACTGTGAACCGTGACCTAAAAGGAAATGCTTATGAAAGAGAATAAACTTTAATGCTTGCTTCATCGTATTAAATAATGTTCTTAAAATATTTTGACCCTATCGTTAATAGCCATTAAAATATTTTACATGCGCAATGTATTTGAAATTTTTCATATTTATGATATCCTGAAGTTAAATATGAGAGTAAAACCAGCTTCGCTACTTGTTTTCAAGAAGTCAAATGGTTTGCAGAAATAATTTTAATGGATTTAACACATCGTTTCTGAGTAATTATTATGATAACTATTGGAAATTAAATTGTCTAATTAACTTACTTCGTATTTAGCACATGAAATATTTCGCTTAAAATGGCTAATGACCAGATGCTCGACATTTAGGTAAAAATCTAATAACAATTGATTTTGTTACTGAGAACTACAAATTTATATTTTTATAATACACCAATTTCTAGGGCGATAAATATATAATTTTCAAATTAATATAATAATAATAAGCAATAAAATATTTTTGGAAACTATACCTTCCTAATAAAATATTTAGAAACTCGAAATATCTTGAAGTCTAGTTTAAAATAAGAGGTTTTCCTTATCTACTTCTCCAAGGTATTAAAGCTTTAAATATTAATGTTCTCTGTATAGAAGGAGAAGGTTAAATTCGTATAATCGAAGAAATTCCTTCTAGGTCAAACTAGAACGATAAAGTGGCATTTTTTCGAAGACTATTATCTATTCCTAACTACTATTTAATAATATTTACAAATTTATTAACGTTGATACTTATATTTATATTGCTACTCGAAAGAAAATTTGGTATCAACACTCCTATATTTATTTTCAATATAAAAGTTGCGTTGTTCTTTCCTCTTTTGCGTACTCCTAAATTACCTAATCTAAAAATTTAGTATAGATTTAGCGTTGTATTTCGTATACAAACGAAATTATGTATACATTACGTACGGTATCATAAATGACTAATTATAATTATTTAATTACAAAGAAGAATGTTTAATTGACTGTTAATTATTCTTCATAGAAATCATCTTTACTAGAGCGTATTAATAAGAAGCGTAAAATTTGCACGTTAGATGATTAAGAGTAAAAGAAAATTTAAGAAATTATTTAAATGAAGAGTTTTAAATACAATTGTTAAAAAAACGATAATGAACCTTAGTTTATTTGTATTGTAACTTGAGGTATTAATGAAAAATTTCTCTCGCATTCATAATATTCGTGTCAACCAGCGCTCTCTGTTTTCTATATCAGAATATCTTCTGCACGGATTATACAGTTGGCATAACCTATAGACAATATGGCCAAGGAACTGCACAAATGTTTGATAAATTATTTCTCACAGTTAGAGAAAGTAGATTACAAGTGGAATCAATTATCCGAAGAAGCCACACGATCTCTACACGGCTTAAAGAATCAATCAGAGCAACTTCGACTTGTCATAAGGTAATGTGTTTTAACTTTCTATTTTTTTACGAATTTTGTCACTGCCTCGGACGTTTCGTGCATGCAGTTACTAGAGTAGAAACTCGATGTGAAGTTGCATCAACGTTTGGTAGAAAGAAAAGTTTCATTAATCTACTGTCAGATGTCGCTCTATTACAGCAATGAAGTCGATGATGCAGAACTCTGTAAAATAAACAAGTTACGGGATAGATTGATTTTTAAAATTCTTATGGGAATCAACGATGAACTTACACTTCTCTTTGACATTTTAACACGATTCAATAACGTTAATCAAGTAAGTGGATTTGTCATAGAAATTTTTTAATTCTTCTTTTATTTATAAGATAATTAAATCGAATCGTGAAATGAATTATTCAGTGACGCAATAAAATTATCACGAAAAATAATATTTTAGGATCTAAACAATCGTTTGAACAATTTGGAAATTGCACGAAGCAAAGTTTCGTTAGATGAAGAGACGATGAAGGAATTAGTCAATGGCACACCTTATAGACCACGATTAAATTTACTTTTAGAATGGGCAATCGAAGCTTTCAATTATTACCGTCAATTGTATCCTTTAACTGAAAATATGTCATTGATTTCTAATCTCATTTTATCTATTCGAAGATTTTCTTAACACAGAAAATTCCTTAGATATCTTCTGATCAATGGAAGTATAAAACAATTCAATTACAAAGATGAGGAAACGATAGAAAATTTAACGAAGTCTTTCGACGAGGACCGGTTTAAAAGGCTGCGGATCGAACGTAAGTACTTGGTCTTTAATTAGCATTTTAATTAATTAGCAATTTTTTCGTTCATTTGCATTATTTATTTCAGGTATACTCTATTTCACGCAATTCCTGACAAAAGAATCCGTTCGTTAGGAAGTTTTATGTACTGCAATCAAACGCCATAAATGTTTATCAGCTAACACTTATAGACTGTAAATTTTTATACATAAATGGAATAAATAATATTTTTCTTTGTTCGATACTTGTCTTTCCTTTTTGACAATATCACTTTCCTATAATTATTCTCTACCTAAAACCATAAATTTATCAAATGTAATTTTCAATATAATCTTTTTCTACGTTTCTTTGATAGATGTACACAACGTTTGTGTACGCAGTAATGAAAACTACGATTTCACGATCCATCACGAACTAACAATAAGTGCTACAAGTAGTTTAAACCATTATGTGAACTGACATTCACAGACGGTGTGTTCCACTTGTCTGACTAAAAGCCGGTTTATTTACTGAAACGACGAATATGCCTCTTTTGTCTGCAGGTGATGGCAATAAAAAGATAGCACCCGGCGTAAACTAATAATCAATGGTTTTCGAAGCAAGTACTATTGAAATGAAATTTCAATTAATACTACAACAACTACTTGTTCCATTTACCATTTCAAATACGAATGTGAATTTTGGTTCGTTTCATAAGATGAAATGAAAAGGAAGCAAAGTGAGAACGTTACTCCTACTTATTTTTTTTGCTTCTAAATTAACGAAAGTTTCGAGTGCCACTCTATAAAAAGTTTTTGTCCATTCTCGCCCTATCTGGGAAACGTAGAGCCTTTTCACTATCCGTCGAACGGAAAGCCTGTCGTTTAATTAAAATGAACGTTAGCTCGAAACAATATTAACGTTGATTGCATTACTGTCGCTGAGGTTTACCCCTCTTTGCGTTACTTATCCATAACACGAACAGCTGGTAATTGAAGGAAACAACCACTTAATGCAGCGTAATCCTTCGTGAAACGCGTGGAAAATCTGTAAAAGCGAAGATAACGAATGTTACGTAATTCGCGACTATTTTTTACAAGTGCCACATTTGGACACTTTCTGCTACATATAGACTGTAAGAATACGTGTTACTTGCTATCGATTCAGTTTTCGTAAAGGTCAAATGTTTCTACTTAATCCTCCAGCAGAATTTCCAATGTAATTAGGCACGTGGATAAAATCCTATGCATCCGATACACCTAATACCTCGAAATCTGTTGACTATCTTGAATGTTGGCTATCATGAACGATGTCAGCTTGATAAAACCACGTAACATTTCCAAGTACTTGTAATCCCTCTTGCAATTAATTCTTTTATTCATCGAGTCTCGATAAATTTACAAGAAAGTATAGAATCGTTTACGAATCACAATTATAACTACCACGTAAACAGATTCCTATGAGTCTCTGTAATGGAACTGACTTTTCCATGCCATCTGAAATTCAACGATTAAAGTAAAAATCATCGTCCAGATTTGTCATGTTCGCGTTTCACCTCTTTGATCGACGTCGAATGTTAGTCACGATGACATCCGTTATTCGCCACGTTCCTACGATCGGTTCGCCGATCATCGACCAATCTCCTGACAAAAAGGGTTCACGCATATTCCGGTCTGTAGGACACGGAGGCATCGAGGCGCCGGCGCTTGCTATTGATTCCGTTGGATATCGTGATTTCAAAAGTTACCATCGTAGTAGAGGGTGCCACAGTAGCTAACTGCTCCTCGTACCATAAGGAGGCCCTCGCGCTTTTCTTTATTTCACCCCAACAGGTTAGTGGCGAAATTGCAATGTTATTCCGTGACTGTACCCTATAACATTTCCGTCGAATAATTTCATTTCAAACTCGTGTACATCGCGCGGTGTCGTTGCCACGAAAGATCGTTCAGCGGAAACAACGCGATACCGGATCTTATTTATTTGAATCATCTTTCCGGGTCTCTTGCGACGAAAGCGGGTTAAATTAGGCTAACACGGATAGGCTCGACCAGTGAATGAAAGTCGAGATATTTAGAAAATACCTCTGCAAACTGTCACGAAAACTCTGAAGATTATGTAGGACGAAAAATATCACTTGATTGGTGCGCTTGTGACGTCAATGGGAACGATAGTTATAGTGCATGTCACTCGTGTAAAATTGCCGCCCAATATATCGGATACTTTCTAGTGGAACGACCAGGTTTTTCTCGATTTTTATCAAATAAACGAGAAGGATATCGCGTGAAAATGTTTCTTCTTAACATGTCTTTCATCTGCGAGTCAATTTTTATTCATGAAATTAACGAAAAGCGTTCGGAAAGGTACGATATTTGATTGTCAATAGAAGATAGTCGATACGGAGGTAAACATTTTCAACAGGAAGCGTTCTCGACACAATTACACTTGCAGCATATTTAATGGCTCGTAATTGACTGTCAAGATCCCTCGTATACGAGGTCAGGGGCGTAGTAAAGCTGAAAGGCAAACATCCCTTCCTTCCGACTGACTGTCCTATCGATAAAAAAAGGGACGTGTAGCAGGTTCTTTAAGTAGAATTGCAAAGACATTTCTGTGCAGTGCTTTTCTTAAAGGGCAAAGAGCGTTTAAATGGGAGAATAAGGAAATCGCGTGTGATTCTCTGCGTGTCGTTCACTTATCTATTGTTTACGTCGAATTTATTACCTTTAGATTTAGTTACAACTTATAGTTGATATTCGGTGTTACATAATCAGCTAGAAAATTCTAACAAATTCGCTGAATGTTATTTTCCTCGAGTTCTGTTCATGCAAATAATTTTGGGTACAAAAGCTGTTACAAAATTAAATACGCCAGTTGCTATAAAAAGTAAAGGCGTTTAAGAAGCACGATTATTATGGGAAAATTGAGTATCGAATCGAAGAGGTTGGATATCCTAGGAAATATTTTGTTTTTAAAATTACTTTATCAAAGGAACTGCAATCGGTGTACACGTGAAACGAATAGAAGTGCCAAATATAATATCTCGAGTTTATGGAGCGTATCCTCACTGATCTAACTTTAAAAGACACTGCAGCTGTAATTCTTGTTCGCGTTTAATGACACGATAGAGTTAGCAGACGAACTGTAAACGCAGATATAATAGAGAGTAGTTTAATACTTATTTTTAAAACGAGATTAACTACGACAAAATTACTTCCCTTCTTCTCAATCTTTTTCGTAATCAATGAATATAGCAATGAAAAAGCTTTTTCCATTAAATCATTATTAAATTCATGCATGTATGAAATTGAACCTGACAATATACGAGGAAATTTAATATTGGTCCGCATTGGTACAAACAAGTAAAGGTATATCAAATTTAATAATTCGAAATTCCGAAGCTTGGTAATTAAACAGTATGCATATTACCTCACCTACACCATAAAATTGCTTATTAACTACGAATTTTCTATTTAATCGTTTATCGAGATTTTCATTTATTAAATTCCTAAAATTCTTTCATCTGCAAACTTTGGTCCTTTAAGTTTGATTGCATTTACGAATTCATTAAAACTATCATACATTTCTGTCCCTTATATTTTTCCTACCATTTCAATTCCATTTGTACGAATCCATCGATGAAGCTCAGTTATATATTTTTACGATACTCTTTCCGAGGTCAGCAATGATTAACAATTACTTAATATTCTGTTTCCAACAGGATGGAGTCCATAGGCGCGCGTGGTATGTCTGTTTGATCTTTCCAAAGGAAGAAAATTGTGGTCGCACAATAGGAAGAAAGAATGGCGAACACGGCCCACCTCGTTCGCCGGCAAAGCTCGCGTGACTTAAAACCCCAGAAAAGTGTCGACAAACTAGAAATGAAGGAAATGAGAGGAAGGTTAGTGGTGGACAATAGAAAGACTAACACCACTGCCAATTACGGGGCCACGAACGCTGCCTTTGAGGACTCCAGTCCTAATACGAAGGTATAATAACGTCAAGTAATACTATTCTGGTAAAAATAATTAATATTTAATGAGGAGATTTCAGATTAACGAATAAATTCGTATCAGCTATGAATTTCAGCGAATATCCTGTACGAAGTGAAATATTTAATCCGATATCGTACATTATTTGTTATCGCAGAACAAAACGGGAAACGGGGGCGGGGGTAGTAAGCTTGAGAGTAACGAAGGAAAAGCGATTTTTCGGCCAGAAGCAGGGGAGGATGAAAGAGAAAATTGGGACAGTAAGCTTACTTTTCTATTAGCAACCGTGGGGTATGCTGTGGGTCTCGGGAACGTGTGGAGATTTCCATATCTCGCTCAAAAAAATGGTGGAGGTACGTTAGTTGTTTTTCCAGAAATGAAATGCCTTTGAAAAATATATGGAATCTAAATTCTCGTATCGTATCACATACTCCGGAAATATTAGTATAACTTGGATGAAAGAGAAATGTGTGTCAAAGGTTAATTGTTTGCTGTTTGTTCTAATCTTTCGACACAGGTGCATTTTTAATCCCTTACTTTGTAATGTTGGCTATCGAGGGTATTCCTATATTTTATCTGGAGTTGGCAATTGGCCAGAGACTACGGAAGGGTGCTATAGGCGTATGGAATCAGGTGATTGTTGCACGATGAATACAATTCCACTCGTCAAAATAAACGTACACTTTCACAAACAACGTTTCATGTTTTATAACAGGTTTCTCCATATATGGGTGGTATTGGTGTAAGCAGTGCCGTGGTTTCATTCAATGTAGCTCTGTACTACAACACTATTATCGCTTGGTGCCTCTTCTACTTCGTTCAAGTGAGCGTTCATTCATCTTCTGATAATTTCTCATTCAAAGAGATATAACATTGCAATTCTTGATATTTGTATAACCCTTTCTTCGTTACTTTTTATCGAATAAATTTGAAAACATTTCATATTACATGTGAACGTTCGAAATGAGATTAATAAGTAAATTAATTATTTTTTTCCAGAGTTTCCAGTCACAGTTACCATGGGCAGAGTGTCCTAACGTATATTTTCAAAATGGATCGTATGCACCTGAACCAGAGTGTGTGGTACGATTGGTTTGATCAATGTCTCGATATTTAATTAAGATAATTTCGCTAGAACCAGTGTTTGTTTCTCAGGTTAGCAGTCCCACTCAGTACTTCTGGTATCGAACAACTTTGATGATTTCTGAAGACATTAATACCCCAGAGATATTTAATTGGAAGATTGCTCTGGCACTGGTGATTGCTTGGATTCTCGTCTACATGTGCATGATCAAAGGAATCGCGTCTTCAGGGAAGGTATTCTTTTAAAGTATTCAACGTTGATTGCATAATTTCGTACGAAATCACACGTGGAATTAATCTATCGATTCTTCAAACAACTTTATAAATTGAAATATCTTTTATAGGTCGTGTACGTAACCGCCACATTTCCGTATATCGTTCTCATTATTTTCTTCTTTCGTGGCGTCACACTGACAGGAATGTCTGATGGTCTACGACATCTTTTTACGCCAAAGGTATAGTCTATGTTGTATGCACGCTGTCTAAATAATTTCGAGCAATACGATAGCTTTCAATAATAAAATTATTTGTTCAGTGGTGGAAATTAACCGACCCAGTGGTCTGGTTGGAAGCAGGAACACAGATATTCTTTTCCCTCGGTTTGGCATTCGGTGGTTTAATAGCGTTTTCTTCTTACAATCCTGTAAACAACAATTGTTACCGAGACGCTATTATGGTCAGTTTAACCAACTGTTTCACTTCGATGTTTGCAGGAATTGTTGTGTTTTCTATTATCGGTAATTACTCCTTGTTCCACCGAATTTCAAGTCACAAATTAATAAAAATTCCACTAAAAGTTTACATATTTTTAAACATAGGTTTCAAAGCTACCATGGTTTATGAACATTGTTTATCGGAGAGAAACAACACGCTCATCAGCATTTTTGGCCAAATAGATAAAATACCAGATGAAATACCAGCGAGCGGTACACTTTTGAATATTACCACAGGAAATGGAACATTGGATAACTTAATCATGCCAGAACTACCGGAATGCGATCTTGAAAAAGAGTTGGACAATGTAAGTTGCACTGTTAAACATCCGTAAGTTAAATCATTACTACTTGCTCGCTCTGAAAAAACAATTTTCTTCTCGAAATATTTCAGTCAGCGTCAGGCACAGGTTTAGCGTTTATCATCTTCACGGAAGCGATAAATCAATTTCCTGGTGCTCAATTCTGGTCCATACTATTTTTCCTTATGCTATTCACCCTTGGAATTGACTCTCAATTTGGTACACTCGAGGGAGTTGTTACAAGTATCGTAGACATGAAGCTATTCCCAAATTTGCGAAAGGAAATCCTCACAGGTCGGCGATTATTAAAACGTTCATCACCGTTAAACTAATTAAAGGTAACCAGAGTCGTTTCATAGTCTCGTTTCATTCTGGAAACAGGTGGCATTTGCTTGGTTTGTTGCGTGATCTCAATGGCCTTCGCTCACGGTGCTGGTAGCTACGTTTTTTTACTATTTGATAACTTCAGTGGAAACTTTCCTCTGCTAATCATCGCTTTCTTTGAATGTATCGCGGTATCGTACGTTTATGGTCTAAAAAGGTATGCAATGATATTCCAAATATACCTGATGTTTCTCACCTGTGTTATTTCCAAGATCGTTTGAATTGCTGGCATTATTTCATTCATAGATTCGCCGATGATATCGAGCTAATGACTGGCAACCGTCCAGGCCTTTATTGGCTAATCTGTTGGAAATACCTCAGCCCGATGGCTATGTTGAGCATTTTAATTGCCTCGATCGTGGAAATCATTGTCGATGGAAGTGGTTATCCAGCTTGGGTTGCCAGCAAAGGTATTACAGAGAAACACGAGTGGCCGGTTTGGGCTTTGGTTCTCATCGGTATACTCATTCTTGCCTCTGTTCTTTGGATTCCTACGGTTGCTATTTGCAGGTAATATTTCCGCATTTTCTCAGCTTGTTTCTCCTTTCTACCTTTTATTTCTTTATTCGTGTCGTATTTCTTCCAACTTCTTTTACATTCCTGCAAAATGCTCACATTTTCCGTTTAGACTATTCGGAATACTTATAATCGAGGATAACGAGAAAGCGTGGTTTCCCGCGGCCGATTTGAAAGAGTTTCACGGGATCGTACCACACGAAGTTACACCAGCTGAAACATTATTATTCTGTATAAGAAGCGATGGATCAGAGGGGCTCTGTTGCCCGACCGGTGGTCCTAGCGATGACGATGAGGATCTTACCTAGGAATGGTTATCCTCCTGCATGTTGGATTAACATGTGTTTAAATGGTTCATAGACCGAGAAACAGCATTTTTTTACTTCGTATCAAGGTCCAGATCATTAGCAATTAATTTAAATTCGATTAGATATCACACGTGTCCTTTATTCCCGTTTAAGTTTGGTACTTGACACTTTTGCAATTTACTTCAGAGCGTATTACAAGGGTACATCGTGTCAATTATGGCGAAAATGATTAATATAATTCGAACTATATTTACATCATGATGAAGTTTGGATGAAGTTCTTTTAGAAGAAATTTAGATAACAGAGAAATTCGAAAGTACGAATTTAATATGACGATTTAAACACAGATCATTGTTTTTCATTTGAAGACGTGTCTCTCTGCTGCTTTTCGAGTCTCTGGATCATTTAGCAATACGTGAGTATGTCAATATCAACTGGAAAAGTAAAATGGAAACGTTCCCCGACGTTTTCAGTAAGTAATTGCCAATAAAATAATGGACAAATAGTTACGAAACGGATAAGAATAAAAATAAACAAGAAACTGCAAGTTCTACTTTTAAGCCAAACTTACAGTTTCTTTGCTTACGAAGATATATGATACATCTCAAATTGAACGAATTAAATAATTTAACTTGGTCGTTTTTTCTTCCTCGTTAGATCGACAACTTTTGATAAATTAAATTTTATTTTCGACACGTTATAATGATATCGGACAGAAGATCGAAGAAGCCGAAATCATTGCAAATAAAAGCGATCAAATATTTAAATTGCATCTTTAAAAAGGAAAAGAACCGAAGGATAATCGAAATAATACAATTTCTTAAATATCTCGAATTCGACAAATAAAATTTATCAAGTAAATTTCATAAATTAAACTGCACGTTCTGATATGATTTACGAAATGTATCGTATATCCAATGACTATCTAGCGTATAAAGCATCATTTTAGAATTTACAATATACACTCTTAAAAGACAAGTTACAATCCTGCGACTAATTGCAGATGATAATAAATAAGATAATATTAAAATTAGATTCGAGACAACTTTTACCGCTTAGCAAACTGCAAATAACGTGAGATCTAAGATTAGCGTAGGAGCCGTCCAATGGGCGTATAAAGAGGGAATCGTTCCCGAATCGTTGTATTTATTTTAATTCTTCAGTGAGGTATATAAGAACAGTTCTATTTTACTGATTGATTCTTCGTTATCCTATCACCGTTATGTATTTAATTCTTGTATGAAATTATATTACTAAGGTAATATCTATTATTGGAAAATTTTCGACAAACGTATCAAAAGAAAACGAAGAAGAAGAAGAATAAGAAGCAATGCGATCAAGGATGATATGAAAAATATCCTTTAAAAAAGTGTGATCAAGTGTGATGCATTCGAATAGTTAATACTTCATCATAGCCCTCTTATTAACGAATATCAATTACTTTAGCGATACTTCTACAAACATATCTGACGCGTCGAATTTATAGGCTTTGTTTCTAATAAGTACGAGCTGACTGAGAGAATGATGGGCAAGCGAGAATTGATTAGCTGGCTTGGTAGCTATATCGCATTGAAAGTAACCCGTTAGGGATAGAAACGAGAAATAAGAGGTACGCATATCAAAACAATATATCAAACGAGAAAATTTCGTTGCGATTTTAGCGTATGTTCGTCGAACGTTCCAACGTCGTCGAACGCTCTAACGTATAAGGACAATAAGAAATTTTTTAAGACTCGATCGACGAGGAATCTGTGCGACAATAATGAGATTCGATTAATCGAAATTTTAATCGACAGAAAATTTGACAATAAGATAAACGTATGCACTGCACTTCTTGCACATTCACTAAGGCCTATGAAATCGAGAGCTGCTGCATCGGTCGAAGGAATAGAGTATTTCGTTCTCATATATTTTCTTAAGGTATACAATGTATCTTATATGCATATGTTAAGTTATCCTAAATTTGTGTTACTCTAAACACGTTTGTATCGTGCAAGTAAGGCATCGTACTTTTTTAGACAAGTTTTACACCGTAAACGAGTCGGTCTTTTAAGGATAAAAATCATATGAAATTTATCGTGGACATTAATATTCTGATATATTCTCGAAATTGGTATCTTAGAAGAAGGACAAAACGGATCTATTCCTTCGATAAGAGAATCGTTTATTAACAGAGACTAGAGCAGTAGCGAGATACGCTCTAATCGCGTCTATTTGTACTTCGGATCTCCCTATTTTGTATGCGCGCTTTTGGGTATGGTCTTAACTCTTTTTGACAAATTGTTGATCACGAAGTGTCATACACTTCAGCACGATTCTAACGAGAACAGCTTGAAACTGGAAATTATTCACCGTAGAATTCGTACACAGTGTCAAGAGATAACTCTACATCACCGGTAAAGAAGAGAAACTACAATCTCTGTCTTTGATAGAGTAATAGTCATATACAACTTTTCGTTTTGAGATATTACATTCACATAGATCGTTTCCCTTGTTTCCTGAAGAAGGTGCTAAACTATAATAATATAAGAGTGATTTAATACGAAATGATATATATAGAAAAAAGTCGTTGATAATACTTGTTAAGATCCTGTTATCGACTTAATCACAGTCCTGATGATTAATTGTGTTGCTCCTAAATCGATTAGTGATTTACTTGTACTGGTATATTATATTATGATTATTCGTATGATGTAGTTCGACTGTAAATAATTGTTGAAGTGTCTTTTAAACTGTAAACTGACAATAACTTGCGGGACAAGGAGCTGCCGCGTGAAACATGATGAATCGCCCTTGCAATGAATAGTACAAATGTTTCGTTCACTATCATATGTTTCGTATACATTGCCTCGAACTACGAATCCGAAACATACAAAATCGGACAATAATTCATTCGAGTACATTTTATTTCTTCATACCGTTATTCAACATCTCGAGCCTCGAAGGGTTGCGTTAGTGTATATAGTGTGCCAACATTTAATCGTTAAACCGTAATCGTTTGACATCCTCGTCGATAATTAAAGTACATGTAACTGCAAAGTGTTATTACTTATCAATTTAAAAAATAAAAGAAACTAAAGCTAGTAACACAAATAAGGAATGGAGTGAATATTATTTGCCTGAGCAAGACAATAATTAGCAGACAATAATTAAAAGACAAAAATTTATTGAAAAATAAAAGATACCTTATTCAAGCGCACTTTGTACACATATACGCCGATTCGTGTAATTTAAGATCCACTTATGGCCGCTCGAGGATTAAGAGAAGAACGTTATTTCCTGTCTATATCGGTAGAACAAACGAAAAGTGTCAATGAAATGTATCAAAAACGATTAGAGACTATCGCATATTCAATCAACCATAGAAGATTGGAATATTGATCTTGATATAGTACCATTTTGTAAGTTTCAATTGTGACAATATTGTTTTATTGTTTTCTACATATCCTGCTGAGTTTGCAAAATGTATAACGAAGAAGTCGTGTCCATCCATACTTAAGGTGCAATTTAAACGTGAAGTAGAAGGTTTGGATATTATTCGATCAGATACGAGCGTAAGTTGTGAAGTTAGGTTTCGAAGATGATTCGCGTTATTGAAGTTTTATTAACGATACATGGAAACAAGTAAATAATGTCGATGTAGCTTGCGCAATAATGAATAAGATATAAAGGACAGATGCGGACAGTAGTTAATGTTATAATTATATATTAATATAATGAGTATATATACACTAATATTACGTATACGTAAATCTGTACATATATATATTGTTGTCAGTTGAATGTTAAAATAAATACCGGGCGTACACATGGATTGTTTCCTTTAATTCCCTTGCTTTTTAATAAAGAGAAAAAATTAATGCTAGTAATAATGCAGAGGATTATTCGAATCGAAATTGTAAATGATTAACAAAGTTAAAAATGTAGCACTTTCTTCTGACGAGTATTCTTTAACCTATTATTCAAACAAAATAGAAAGCCATTGAAAGGCAAGTACTATACCAGTGCCATCATAAAATCGGTCATAAAGTGCGGGAAAAATAGTGAAATATTTATATACTTTCCAACTTCAAGATGAAATTATCTCAAAGAACCATAGTTCTTGACTTTCTCAAAGTTCTTTGTTTTATGACACCTAAAAAGCATGAAAGGCAACGTGCATATGCTTTAAAGAAATACTCATTATCCGACCGAGTAATCAGGAAGTTTAAGCAAATGAAAATAATACCCACAGACTGATGTAAAAGTATGCCATCTAGTAATAAAACGATGTAATAAAATTACGCGCGAAAAAAATTTTAAATTTAACAAAATATAATTTACATTACATTTGCATTATTTTATTACCATTGTACCAATGGAAATGACCTTTCTTACTAGCGTTAGCTAGTGTGTTCAAGTGAAAACAATGGGAGCCTCAAAGGTGAGGATAGGTGGAGCAAGCAAAGTACTCCCCTAGCCCCTGCACGTCCCGTTAACCAACTTCTCGCGGGCACACAGTACTAAGTTGATTATAGGAAGGTTATGCTCAAATTTTATTTCAATAGATTAACTCGTGTACAGAATATGAGTGTTTTTATTCAATGTTTAAATCCTCTAACTGGAACTAATAATTGGGAGGAAAAAGATGAAAATTATGATTATCACCAAGAAGTTGCTAGATCAGCATTTGCTGATATGTTGCATGATATTGAAAGAGTTTGTATTCTATATTATATTATTTTTAGATAATGTAATATAAAATAAATTTGGTATTTCTATTTATAAAATTCTATTATAATTATAGAATCAAACATACTATCTAGGTATTAAAAGCGCAATTGAAAAGAAGCACCAAAATGGAGAAAAAGCTAATGTACTTGACATAGGTACTGGAACTGGTTTATTATCAATGATGGCTGCTAAATGTGGAGCAGATACTATAACAGCTTGTGAAGTAAATAATATTATTTGTTATTAAATTAGAAAATTATATTTTTATGTTTTTGAAGATTATGCGTATTTGTTAGGCTTTTACACCAATGGCTAAATGTGCGATAAAAATAATCCAAGAAAATGGATTTGAGGATAAAATTAAGTTAGTACACAAGCGTTCTACAGAAATGACTGTTGGGAAGGATGGTGATATGGTCAAAAAAGCAAATATTTTAGTTACCGAAGTATTTGATACAGAACTTATTGGAGAAGGAGCACTTTCTACATTTCGTCATGCTCATGAAAATCTACTTGAAGTATAAATCTTAAATTTTTAATTTAGACAATTTTATGTAATAATATTTAATATACATTCATTTATTTTATGTTAGGAAAATAGTATTGTAGTTCCACATACTGCTACTATTTGGGTACAAGTAGTGGAGAGTTCCACTGTATGTGCATGGAATACAATACATCCTATTCAAAATAAAAACAAATGTTTATTAAATATACCATATTCTGTAAAATCTTGTTCTGGTGCAGCTGCAGTACATGATATACAGTTAACACAATTTCCTGACAATGCATTTAAACCTTTATTACCACCTCAACCAATATTTAGGTAAAAGTATGTCATATGTATATTTAACTGTACAAAGCTGTATATATATACATAAAAATATACATAAAAATGTTTGTTTTTAGGTTTGATCTATCTGGTAAGTCAACTTTATTATATGATGAAAAAAAATGTTTACATGTAAAACCAACTGTAAATGGTACTGCACATGCTATTTTTATGTGGTGGGATTTGGTCATGGATATAAATAACGAGGTAATTATCATTTATTAAAAACTTTCAAGCTTGCGACTAAATAGTTTCTATGTAGGTTTTATTAAGTTGTGCTCCAGTGTGGGAACATCCAGATACAAAGACTTTACAGAATAAAGGTTTCAGTATGAAAGTGATAGCAAATGCAATGCCCTGGAGAGATCATTGGATGCAAGCTATTTACTATTTACCTGTTGAAACATCAATTGCTGCTAACAATGAAATTAGTTTGATTGGATATCACGATGAATATTCATTATGGTTTCAATTAATAAATGAATCAATGTATGCTAATTTAAACACCTCATATATCTTGTTATTTTTTGCTATTTTATAACTATATATATAAAATTTTATTTACAGAAATGAAGTACCAGATTGTAAAAGACCTGTTTGTACTTGTAATATTCATGTAGCTTATTGTAGGACTCGTATAGGTCAATTAAATGATTATACACGAAATGAGAAATATATTAAGGCTTTAGAAAAAAAAATTACGTCGGATACTGTGTGTTTATGTCTTTCAGACGGTTGTTTATTAGGTCTTGCAGCTATTAAATTAGGCGCGAAAAAAATATTCATTTTAGAAACGAACCTTTTATCCAGGAAATGTATCGAAATGTTTGTCAAAACAAATGATCTTTCAGAAAAAGTAGAAGTTATTGAATCAGTAAATAATTTGCCTCCTGAAAGTGCAATTAATTTAATTTTTGGTGAACCATATTTTATTACTTCAATTGTACCATGGGAAAATCTTCATTTTTGGTATTTGGTTTCAAGATATTCATCTCAAATACAAAGGATTCCAATTGCAGCAACTATAATGGGCATTGTAGTTGAATTTAAAGACTTACATAAAATACGAGAACCTGTTGGAGTCTGTGAGGGTTTTGATTTATCTATTTTCGACAAACTTATACAAGTAAGTCGATATAAATTGAAGAATATAATAAAATATTTAATTTTTACAATATTTTATAGGCATCAAGCGATAAAAGTGATAGTCCTATAGAAGCTCAACCATTATGGGAATATCCTGCAAAAGCATTAACTTTACCTTTTGTTATTAAGAAATTTAATTTAACACAAAATGTGTATGAAAGTGAAAATGTAAATATTTCAGAAACTGTGCCAATTTTAATGTAAGATTTCATTGGATTTTATATTAATGATTATCATAACTTAGTAGGTGTATTTTACAAATTTTTTTTTAATTTAGAGAGGGAACATGTAATGGTGTAGCTTTATGGGTCGACTGGCAACTGAACTCTGAAATCACGGTATCATCAGGACCTACTATAGAAGTGCACCCCGGAAAGCGGATATCATGGGATCCATTTACAAGACAAGGCGTACATTTATTTAAAGATATAACGCATGTTACATTACAAAGTAATGTTTTATGGTCATTTAACTTTATACCACAATATGGAAATGTTAAATTTGATTTTCGTGTATTGTCAAAAAATATGCAATAACACAATGCAATGTTTGTAAAAACACACGTTTAAGTTAAAAATTTTATTCGTTTATCTTATTTGTTTTTTTGTGTCATCTTTTTAAACATGCTTATAAAAATTACACATTTATTATAAAATAAAATCTCTTCAAAAACTATTAAATAAGAAAATATTATGTAGATTCTTCAGGCAGCATACGTAATTGTTTAGCTAATCTTCGTCCTATAAGTTTTGGGTATGCTTTTTGTTTAATTAGAAATTCTTTACTTTGATGAGTTACAGCACCATTTTCTAGTTGAAACCTAAAATTCACATAGTTATTATTACTATAAGATGTATTTTTATATTATATTATTAAAAACTTGCCTGCAAAGATAATGTAAAGGTCCAAGCATTTGATTTTTCAGTTCTGGATCACCTTCTAAAATGGAAAGTGCAAATGCACCAGTTTCAAGTGTAGATAAACAACCTTCAGTCGGTTGGGTTCTAATAACATATTCACTTGTTGGAACTCCAACTAATTTACAGGCTTGTAAAATACACAGAGCTGGACTTGAATGATATATTGCCTATTGAAATGACTTTTTCTTTATTTACTTCAGTCTATACGAATTGGTTGAGTTATAAGGTATATTACCTTTGCTTGTGGCCAAGTTCCATCTAATAAAACAAGATTATACGGTTTCTGTCCATTAATTCCAACAGGATTTAATTTATCAAGTGCTATTGCACCTGGTGATGGATATAATAATATAGTATCTTTATTATTTAAAATTTCGGCTAAGCCCTCATGTTTTGAAAGTGGAAATTTTTTTCCTCTGAGATAAAAGAATATTATTACATCAACTTGAACTTTTGATGTTAATTAATAATATTTTAAACTACTTACCTATAAATTATACACTTTCCAGGTTCTAAACCCAGTGCAAGCATGGGTGCAGTTCGTAAGCAACGTTTTGCTTCAGCTGGATGTTGTAAAATTATTATTTTTGATGCAGGACATACAGGATGCTTTGGTAACCCTGGACACCAACATACTGGTACTGGTCTTCTATATACGTATAATATTAATGTATTTAATATAATTTAAAACATATATAAAACTATAGTTTAAATATATCAAATGCATATACGTAAATTAAAGAGAATCACTTAAACATAACCTAAACAAGAATGTGTACATACTTGCACTGCGAGCACTTATCTCTTGTCTCTGGAGGATCAGCTAGAATTTCTGACAATTCTTGCCACACAGATTCTTCATTCATTATAATTATTAACTATAATAATAAAAAGAAGTTATCGAACAATTTAATAATTGACAGAAGTAAACGTATAACAAAATGCGAGATAGTATTGATAGTATAAAAATGATGTGTATATTAATGTAATTATTTATATTAAAAAAATACATTTCTCCCGTATTAGATGTCAGTAAGCAATTAAGTCAAATCTACTTTATAATTATATTTTTCGTACAAAAATTAGTTTCATGCTTTTATTCTATAGAACGATGGAAATTCAAATTTCGCGCTTTTAATAGAATCTGTTATCGACTCGATGCAAACTGTGGAATTAAGAACACTGTTCACACGTTTAATTGAAAACAATCGACTCTGGACGATTCACATTCTATAACACTGCCCAACAAATTTTAACTTTTTTTCAAATCTGTAATATCCATTGGCTAACTCTTGTAAAATTAACTTCTCTACAACGAATCCATAATCGAAATTTGGATATATAATTTAATACCAGCTGCGAAAAAGGCAAATTATGAAAAAGTGTCACGTATAGATGTATACAAACGTAAACACGTCTTACCTTGAACAAATTAATTAGAAACGTACTTATCATTAAAAAGAAATTAAAACCTATTATTGAAAGAATTATTAAAACCTATCTCAAACCTCAAGAAAATTATTTCATCTATACAAAGAATTCATTTCCCTATTATTGATCGATAAATCCTAGTAGTAATAAAATGAAAAAATAAAATTACAATAGAATGTTGAATATTTAGATAAAATAATTGCTAAATTAAACATAATTTAAGCTTTATATGTTTTTAATAGCCTTTTCATTAACATATTATATATTTCACTCATCAATGGATTTATTTTAAGGACTTACGAAAACGAAATTTCATATAGCTATTAAATAAGTATTGAATCGATCGGGGTAGATAGTACAAGAGAAGACGAAATATTTTCAAGCAACATAGAATTACGCTATTCTTGAAATAAACTATCTTGGCCTTGTAACATGAATCCTACTACCTCGGAATTTTTCAGTGACAAAATTCTAAGATTAAATTCGAGTGTACAGCCACATTACGGAAAATAAATGAAACGTAATCGAATTGTAAACTCTCTTACCTACATACGATAAGAGAAACAACAGAGGAATAAATTTCACAATTTTTTCACAAAAGATGTAAATAGGTACATGACTTATAGTGGATAAATGGTATAAATTTCAATGAACGCTATTTTAATTGAACTACAAATGGAACTTATGAATATATAATATAAATAGAAGAGGAATGATAACCGATGACTCTTTTCTAACCTAATATGTGATAATCTTCAACAAAATCGCAGCCAATTAGCTCATATTACTTACTATATCATTCATAATTGTATCATACCTATCAGTTATGTATGACATAACTATAGTGAAACAATTAGAAATGATATGTTAAATAATACTGATTGCCCAGGTCTCACCACGAGGAGGTGCTGCGAATGGAGACCCACCCTATCCACGACCCATCCTCCCTCCATTCGCGAAAAAATTAATCAACATTCAAATAAATTGCCCTTCTTGTGCACGATTGCAAAACGCTCAATCTTTGATCGTTGTACAAAACAATGGCAAAAAGGATTGAAAAGAAAAATCGACGCGAAAAGCTAAACCTGAAAATGAAACATAGATAATTTCGCCTGGAACTAAACCTGAAAATAAAGCATAAATTTTACCTCCAACTAAATCTACAAATAAAAGCATAAAATAAATAAATAAATAAATAATTAAAAATAAATAAATAATTAAAAATAAATAAATAAAATACGCATGAAATAGCTAAACCTGAAAATGAAAGATAAATAATTTCGCCTGGAACTAAACCTGAAAATAAAGCATAAATTTCACCTCCAATTAAACCTAGGAATAAAAGCATACAATAAATAAATAAATAAAAACAAATAAACAATATAAGTATAAAATAGCATTAAACTTAAGGATTAAACTAAGCATTAAGAATTAAATTTATTTAACCAACTTAATACCAAGCAATACTACTACTACTTAATACCACCAATACCACCATTAATTATATAAAAACCCAATTATTAACATGCATAATTACCTTTAGTTAACCTTAATACTATCTGAATGTTATATTACGTCAATACGAACAAGCCTAACATTGTAGTGTAAGCCCCCTGCTTACGTATTAATTCCTTACTTAAGTACTATTAACATCTTAACCTCCAAGTATATTATCTAAACGTAAGTCTTATTTAGCTTAAAAATATCCTGCCTGGCTAAAATTCTAATTCATCCTGCCTATGTAAAAATCTAATTCATCCTGCCTGATTAAAAATCTAATTCGTCCTAATTCATAATTCATTCCACATGTCAAATCTCAAATTGAAACAAAGAATTAGGAACATACCATGTGACTGCCTTCCGACAGTGGTCCATAAGAGATTCTAAAACAAATTTTGTAATCCTACCGAAATAAAAATTTGAATTATTCTTTATACACCATAGTATATGTGAATAAAACCATGGGCAAGGTGAGGAGGAGGTGTTATACAGATCACACATCAGGGATACATAAATACATCTTACTTATTAGGAATATTGAAATACGACTTACTTATCAGAAATATAGAAATAAAGCTCACTTATCAGAAATATAGAAATACAGCTTACTTATCAGAAATACAGAAATACAGCTTACTTATCAGAAATACAGAAATACAGCTTACTTATCAGGAATATAGGAATACAATCTACATATCAGGAATATAGGAATACAGTCTAGATGTCAGGAATGTACGAATACAGTCAACACATGAGAAATATCAAAATACAGTCTGCACATGAGAAATATAGAAATATACTCCACCTAGAGAAGGGATTAAAGATTTGATTCAGAACCCTATCTATAAAATATCACAATCTTAAGGAAAAAGAATGTGGAAGTTATATGGAATTTGAATCTCCTCGCACCATCTCCGCAGCTCTCGCAATGCTTCCTGAAACATATCAAACTGCAAAAAAATTAGTAAAATTATACGAGACATAATTTATTATAGTAATTAACATGATGAGATTATAAATAAATAAATGAGACTCACACACCAGTTTCCTTTAAGTCATTTCCTTTCATATATGTTATTCCACTGCTGAGCCTCTGACATACTTACATAAGCTCGAATATTTGAAATGCAATTAAGCAAGCTTTGAACATTTATAAATCTAAAACAAACTTAGGTACTGGATTAGTAAATAAAAAGAAAATATTTTTAATTGGCAGCTGAAAGGAAACAAGTTGTATTTAAACAGAATTTTAATGGTATTCAAACAAAATTTTTCAAAAACTTGTAATTACTTTACTGCAATTTATTCGCGGTTATTTAAAAAAAAAAAAGAAAGAAGAAATGGAAAAAATCGCAATTCCTCCGAACACGGAAAAGAAAAAAAAAGAAAAAAGAAAATACTATTACTTGTACGAAGAGTCGAATTACAGAAACGAAACATTTTACTTGCAAAATTTCTATTAAAAATAGACGAGGTTCGCGAATGAATTTTAATTGGTGCAAAACAAATTCGGACATTCTTGATTCTAAGATACGAATTTCTATTGACATCTCAAGCAAATGTCACTTTAGCTAACATTATTTTACAAGATTGATTTGAAAAAATTTAATATTTTGTGAGAAAAAAGGAAAAGAAATTATTCAAAACAAAAAAATATATTATACAGCAGTATTTTTAGTAACAAA